GAACGCCCTCCCTGTCACAAGATACCTATCCAGGAGCCAAAGGGGAAAGTACAGTCCCGGCCGAGATGGTGTTCGCCTCTTGCTGTGCCGTCCAGCCTCCCCTTTTTCTTCCGTTATTATTGCTCTATGAGTAATCCGTCCTTACGCTTATGATTTTCCAGGGTAGACCGTCCAGCAAGGCATATTCTCCTGGCATTTCGACGGCTGACTGATGGCAAATATTTTCTAGCAGGTAGCAAGCTAGCAAGCTCTCTGACTAAGTCCTAACACTTCCATCCACACACTCACTCCCCGTGCCTCAAAGCCGTATGGTATGGCAGTCGAGTTCTGCCGCCCCTGACAAAGATAATATATGCATACCCAATTGGACTACAGGGTTATACAACCTTGTGCCTCAGCTCCAGAAGCCGAAGTCAATTGCACATCGTTCTACATCTCTGAATCAGCGTCACTTCCTACTACTTACAATATATAATTGACTACGTGGTCTTGTCAGGAATCATCATGATCAGCCAACCAACCTCACAAGTTGGCAAAATGAAACATTTTCCGGCCTCAACAGGCCGTAAACATCCCCCCGACTGGCTGGAGACATGTATGCGGACTGTCGCTACATACATTCATTTATCACACAAGCAAGGAAGCCCGCTTAAGCATCCACAGGTGGCTCTCAACTAGCATTCCGGAAGATATATGTCGAGTTTTATACCACACACTGCTGGGTCTTTGGGAAATATCACGGCATCACGGGTCATACCCGATTCCCTGGCATCTAACTGAGAGGGAGAAACACATATATAGCCATGGTTCTCGAGCTATATACCACACTGATGTACTCGTACAGTTCCTTAACTTCCAGGATTATCATCATTATGATGCATTCCCTGAATGCCAGCCACTCAGGCGGGCACCCGAGATTCCGGAATAGAATCCCAATTTCTAGGAGCCCCTGTATATGTGACAAGTATACACTTGTGTCATCGTGCCATGGATGTCAAGATGAACTTCTTCTGGCAGCAAGTACTTCTCGATGTCATGGTATGTAACAATCGTCCCACGAACTCCTCAACAGCATTTCCTAGAGCATGTTGAGGGGGTGGGCTGTCAATTCTCAGCTTACACACGCTGTACCTCGTGCTTTGAAACAGTATATGATATTGACAGCTGTAATTGCGGTTATAGCTTATAATGTCCCTGACGAGGAATTATTCTGTCGCTCATAATATGAGATCTGTCATACTTAAAGGCAGGGCAAGGACGGAGCAAGCATACCTCTGCGAGTTGCTTTCAGCTTTGGCCCATATCCTGCTTCTTGCCTTGCACATCCATTTGGTAATCAGTCACCGCGTCACTTTTCAGCAAAGTCTTTCATAATCATGGGCATGGGTACATATCCAAGATGCAGGATAAGCTCTGCTCGGATATCCAATCTCATCAAGAAAATCATAAGCTCCAAAATTTCGTATGATAGAACCAGAACCAGCTCGACTTGCCCTGCATGAACATCGATTTAACAGCAATTAATTTTCGAACTACTCTGTTTACGAGGATCTTGTCCTAACCGCAATTATACTCCTGAGCAGGAGGAGCAGATAGAAAATGCTCCTGTGAGTTACGATGCATGCGCTGTACAGCATTTTTTCTCGTCCGTGGTGTCCTGTGGGCGCGGAACCCGGCTTGTCCCTCTTGACATATATATATATATACTGCATTCTTCTCATGCGAACGGGGTAGCTGCAGCTCTCTATATTGCCTCTCCGCTGTAGGTGCAGCCTATAAGCCTGTTCAGCGCAGTGCTGAGCAGGTGATAACTCGCACACTGCTGCGCTATACAATGCAGGCGCAATCTCGAGAAGCTGTGATCACTTCTCAAGCCATTGATCCCTGGAAGGCGAGGTGGAATGGAAATCCAGGTTTTCTTCAACTCGCCTTCTGTAGCGTGTATACATCTATGTATGCGCTCCACATGGCTCGTATTGCCCGATGGTCAGAGAAGCACTTCTGGCCCAGACTATAAGCGATTCGTGCATGGTCCCTCAGTCATCGATCTCAGCCAGCTCAGACGTTTTTCAACGGCAAAATAGTTTGTGGAAGTATGTCACTTGATCGTTGCACCGTAACGTACTACAGCTGTGGCAAATATCTCCTATAATCATGCTGCCCCAGGGTGTGAGAGAGGCGACCGAGCCATCGGAATCCAATTGCTGTCCTCGGTATGGCCGACCTTTTGCTTTCCAGTGCAAAGCGTTGGACTTGCTGTGTGATCAGCAGGACGTCTTAAGCAAACGCCACCGAGCCCACCGGTATCGCTCGCAGCCGAGTATGATGGTATTGATGACTATGGCATACATGGTAACGCAGGACTCCCGTTATCCATCTTTACAAAATTTGACTCAAGCGGTGTATTCTAACCTTTGCTTCTTTTCCATCTTTTCCCGTTTGCTTTTTTCTTTTTTTTACCCTTAACTTTTTGTTGTAACTAACGTATTAATTTGATCTCGTTAGTTAACGAGTTACCTCGCGATGTGGGTTATGCGGTTAACTGACCATCGCCATAGTTGCCCTGCTTCGACAGCGGCCCTCTCGGCAAAACGGCTTTTGAGACATCCAACATTCTGATGCGCAAGGACGGCCAGCGGAGTAGGTATTATATTTAGGCCAGGCTGCTGTTGCTGCGCCTAGCTCTTCAACCAACTAATAAACAAACCCCTGACACAGATGTCTTGGTACATCCCACAGATGGCCTGATAGTTATGGCCGAGGTCAGAGACATACATCCGCAGTCTTACTTGCACTGCCGTTCGCATGCTCGGTGTTTGTTCACGGAGCAGGGCTCAGCTTCTGTAGCAAAAACACATGCCTGCCGCCAGCGTACGTGCTCTGTAATGGGAGTGTGATAATGACGATGGAGGCCAGCCTCCTCGAGGACACACTGCCCAGCAACGATGCCAGGGATGCATCACTATACTTGCCCAAACGGGCTATCAATAGGGAATAAAATTTCGAATGGCGTCTTGCTCCTCGTCCCGGCTGTACCGAGTACTAGGCCTGTCCTAGGGTGTCCTTGCCCGTAACCAGAGAGGCCAAAAAAGCAGCTCAGGGCCCGTCAACATTCTTGTACCATGCGAGAAACATACATGCAAGTCACTACACTGAGCAGGAGAGACGCATCTATGTGCTGGCGCCGCTTGCCAACGCTGGCAGCCAGAATAGTGTTCAGTCAGGGAGAAGGGGGGAATGCAGCGACAATTTATATATACGAAATGCGAGCAATACAGACGCTGTCCACCAGCAGATCAGTTCCGTCAAAGTTTACTTTCCTGCGATGCATTGAATTTTTTCGCGCCTGGGAGAGAGAGTATGACTACAAAAGGAGCAGCTCGACAAGGCCGAAACCAAAAAGCAAATGCTTGTCCCTGGACATGACGGACGAGGAGACTGTTAGATAGGGAAATGTTGCCCGAGTAACCGCCCTGCAATGAACCTGGGTGGCAGCCAGTAAGGTACATTCTGCAGGCCAACAGCAGAAGAACAAAGGGACAATGCCTGCAGGATCACCGTGATTGGGGCAATAAATTACAGCCTGGGTACTGTCCGCTCTACCCTGAGCGGTGTTCCCGTACTGCAGGCTAATTTGATGCACCCATTCCTGCATTACATACTGTGAGATGCACGTTCCCGTGCCAAAAACGACTGCCAGGGAGAAGGCTCAGCAATGACGGTGATTAGTCAAGGCGATATTTGGCTTTCTCGCTGAAGGATACGGCAATGCAACGATAATTAATGCGAGCAAATTACAGCCCGCCGAGGGCGGTTTTGTTCATGCGGCCGTCGGGCCCCCACTGCCCACTCGCAGCAGCAACGCCAGGGATTCACGATCGCCAGAGTCATCGACAGAGAGGCTGGCAGAGTGGCAGGGAGGAGTGTCTGTATCAGAGCGAGACAGGACGCCCTCTGTTGGCTGGTGAAATCAGGAAGCAGAGGGCTGGTGCCAGCCATTGAGTTGCATCGGCAAAGAGCTTCCGGGAACAAACGTACCAAGTAGCTCTCTCGACCTGGGCGCTTAGAGAGGAGTGCGCAAGCCGGAAGCACCTGGCCAAGGGAGTTCTTACGTATGTATAGTTAATACTCTATACTTATCTCCTATTAACCGTACATCCTTGAGGAGCGAAGGAAATCTGAGGCACAAGGCTTTTCAGACCAGGAAGACCCGAGGATACGCCTTCCCCTCCTCTGATTCAGCAAGTGAAGAGAGGCGACCATAGTCGAGGATTGCAAATTCGACCACAGGGCAACAATCTCCTCTGCCTTCCTGTTGGTTTCCGCTGTGATGGATGAACGAGCAGATGATACCCTCATTTTCGCCATCCCTGGTCTGGAAGCGAACCTCTTATATTCCGGTACCAGCCAGCTAGGCTGCTTTTGAGATGCCTCTCGATCCGATCGCTTTGTTCGCCTTTCTTGCCTGAGGGCGCCGTGTCTGGTCACTATGTAAGTATGTGGTCTGAACAGTTGCTAAGCAGCAGGTCTAGATATGCGGGAGCAAGCCCATCTATCACATCATGACCCCGGTCGACAGCCAATCAGCTGCTGCAGACGGCCTGCGACCTCAGGTTAGCGCCCAGCAAGGGAGACAGCGGCCCCCTTCGCCCCCCATCCCCCCGTCCCCTTGACCATTAGTTGGTGATGGGTATAGATACGGCTCCGCAACGGCAGGCCTTTGCTTTACAATACGCGGTGATAAAATACGACGAGAGAAAAGCCCCCCCGAGGGCGCAAGGCCTGGTCTTGTTGGTCGCATAGTGCTTCTTCTTCACTTCTATCCAACAAGAGGCCGATGACGAGAGGCCCAAGAAAAGCCACCGAGTATCGATTGGCGCTAGGATATGCAGCTAAAATAAATCGATTTCGTCACGCCCATCCCGCCCCATCCATTTGCTTTCCTCAAACCATTCGTCTTGCTGCGGCCCACGCTCGATTCCCCATATAACACGGATGTGATGCAGGCAGAGTACTCCATATACAATGTACTGGCCTATCCTGCGCTGGAAGAGGGTATATACATCCAGTGTACCTCATGCATGCACCCTGCATACACAGAAGAACTTGTCACAGCCAGTGTACCCTCATTATTCTTCAAGCTACGTATGAGTATGTACTCCGTAAGTATGTATGAACAGACAGATATGCTGCTCCAGGTCGTTTCCATCTCAGGACTGCCCGTACCATATACATATATACCTATACTTATACCTATACTGAAGGTTACTATGCTGCACGGAGCGTCTAAGCATGATATTTACATATTGCCTTCTATGTGCCGGGGGGATCCCTCCCTTGCAAGTGGTTATAAGCGAGAAGAAACAGTGATATTGATCTCTGCTATCTGCTAGCCACCTTTTTTTTTAGAGGGAAAGAAAAAGAAAAGATTTTTGAAAAATAAGTGCACTGACCAAAAGAGTACAAGTGTGTACGGTGTGGTACACACAAACGATACTCTGGTTGCTGGAGGTTCGCAGAATGGGACGTTTCTTTTGGCAACAGAGGATCCAGAGAAGAGGAGAAGGATGAGCGGACTGGGGACTGGCCGTTTCCCCAAGCGCCGTCTTCTTGTTATATTCCCGCCGTCTCCCACCACCTACCCTCCATCAAGCAGAGAGAGAGAGAGAGACAGAGATCTGGTTTCACCCTGGTGTGAAAGAGCCGTCATATCACACTCGCTAGACAAGGGTTCCACCCCTACCCTCGAACTCTATCTCACTTTCAATACGATACGGATGTGCATACGATGATGTATCAAGGGCTGCATCTTCATACGAATTCCTAAAAAAAGATATATATCCTCAACCCCCATCACGCAGCTGGCCCCCCTCCCCGCCTCCTTCCATCGAACATTCGATTGCAAACGGCGGCTGGAGTCGACAAACGCTCGTCGTGGGATCTGATATATTCATACCTGGAGAGAGGCTCCTTCATTTCTTTTCTCTACCGTCTCACGCCGTCGATTGCTGTTCAACATACAATACCCCTTCAGTACCCGGGTTTAGAGAGTATAGAATCGGCCTGGTGGCAGTTGACCTGCCTCGATTATCCACAGTAGTTAAACAAGGCGAAGATATATCTATACACACATGTCAACGTCTACCTGATATCGAGACAAGAAGCCTTTGCTGCCGCCCTTTCTGCTCTTTCTCTTTGGACCCTGCATCATGGTAAGTCAGCTTGTCAGAACCCGTGTTACACTTATTAATGATTTCGTAGGACTACACTTACATTCCGCCCCTACCTCAGGGTAGCATTCAGATGTTCCCTCCAGTTAATAACAATCAGACGATAGACTACATGATGAGACGCTCGTCTTTCAACTCTCGACCTCTATCTGAAGCAACGGAAATCCAAGATCTCGACTATGAGGTTGAGTATTCCGAACCTGAGTCGCCACGACGAAGCATAGAATCAGTAAGTGTACATATCAACCAAGTATCTGTATGGGAACCTTGCATTCACTAACACTCGATTATCCAGTTTGGGACTGACAGCGCTACTACTCTCTCGCTCTCAGATGAGCCTCCAACTCCTGGTCCCTATGAGGCCAGGGCCTTTGAGCTTCCATCACGAAACTTAAGTAAGCCAGTACAAGGGCCATCAGGCCCTCATCTATTCAGGGGTTCTATGGATAGCACAATGCTCGAAAAGCCAGCAGTCGAGGAATGGCAATTGTCGATGTCTCCAGTTTCTCTTGAAGATATCAAAGTCCCAATGTGGGCACCACAGGAACGAAGGTCTTCTGAGCCTGCCCAAATTCCAGAGATACCAAGGACATCTACCAGAATGTCGCACCAGAAACAAAACAATCCGTCATTTGTCCAAAATTGGACCCCAACCCAAGTGGCTGAATGGATGTACGAGGTTGGTGTGGAGGACAGCATGGTCGAACGCTTCATTCAAAACGACATCTCCGGCGCCGTCCTTCTCGACTTACACATTGATGACCTTAAGGAATTGGATATTCAGTCCTTTGGCAAGCGCCACTACCTTATGAACATGATCCAGACCTTAAGGAACGCTACTGACCCTAACTCCATACCGGAACTTGCACGGGTTAACTCTTCAATGTCAAACAGCCCCCCGCTAGCAAAAGCCGACTCCCCCGAGTGCACGACATATGCGTCTCCTGATGGCGGTGCTAGGCATAGCCCGCCCGCCCCCAAGAGACGCGGACGCCGCAACCGTGTCATTTCAGAGGAAGACATAATATCACCTGCCGAATCCGTTTCCATTGTTGCTATAGAGCAGCTTCTCCCTAAGCCCCACAAGTGTTCCAAGGGAGAGAACTGCTCTAAGTACCAAAAGAGACAGCGGAAGCTCGCCCGGATTGCAAAACAGTTTCCTAACGAGTTTGCCCTCATAGATGGTGAGCTTGTGGCAACCACAAACCAAGTTGTGCCTCCAACTCCTGCCATGACCCAGATAAGCCGAAAATCTGACGCCGCTCCCTCTCTCGTTGCCTCCTCTGATGTGCTCGGTCCGGGCCTGCTCCCAGATCTACATCCCGAACTACAACTCAATGCTGAGAATCTGAACGGAGTTCGACCACGAGACCCGCAGGAGAATGTCCGGCAGTTTCTCACTTTCCAGCATATGCATAGCCCTGACCTTAATTCGGCTTCGACAAATCAGCCCCTGGAAATGTTTCCGCCTCTGCCTTCTCAGGAACAGCCCGTCCATGTATCCAACCAGCTTCGATCTCTCCCAAAACTTACTATTCCAAATCAAACTCAATCTGTCAGCGATCCTGCGTCTGCTCTGCGCACTGTCACCCCTTCCATGGGCGCTCGAGTTGTGAATTCACCCACTGCAACCCAGGAATACAACCCCTACGCTTTTGATGATAACAACACATATCGTCATGGAACTCCATTTTCCGAGATGGATGTTCCCATCACCGCCGTACCCGTTGAGCCTTTAGCCAGAGAAGCATCCCAGTCCGTTCCTCCAGGCATGAGATACGGAAATATCCCAACACGACAGCACCAGACTCCCGAGCCCCCTGTCCGCTCGAGATCAACCAGGCCTGAACGCCATCGCCGACACCCATCCGTCAATACCATGACCCCTTTGCATGAGATCGAAAGCCTCTCACCAATCGAGAACCCATCGGACATGGACGCTGCCACCAAGCCTCAGCCACCCGTCACCCAACAACCTGGTTCCACAGGATCCTCCTCATCCTCATCAGCACAGAAGGATCCAGATGTCACCCACAGCGGGTGGATGAAGAAACGCAGAACTACTCGCCTCCTTCGACATGAATGGCAAGATGCGCACTTCACACTCAAAGGAACCATTCTTGCCATGCACAAGGACGAGTTTGATACCCACCGCCATAGCAGGGCTCTCGAATCCATTGATGTGGATGACTATGCTGTTGCCTGCTCCTCTCTTGCATCCAACTCCAAGCTTACTGCAGCCTTCAAGCGCTCTGTTCTCCGCAAGGCCGCAAACCTCAACAACAACTCATACAAGGGCATGGACGAAACCGCCTTTGCTTTCTCCTTGATCCCGGCAACAAAACCCACCGAGCGCAAATCAATCTTCACTGCTAATGGCAAAAACCACCATTTCGCCGTCAAGACTCGGGATGAGCGAATCAATTGGATGCGTGAACTTATGCTCGCCAAAGCTCTGAAGAAGGGCAAAGAAGCAGGAAACGAGATCAAGATGAACGGAAATTTCATCTGATCTTCGCAATTTCTGCCTTACTCTCTTTATTTTCCATCTCCTTGGTCAAATTTACATCAACGTAATGTATATACCCGTTCCCTCACCTTCGTTGCATTACGACTTCCTTGTCTCTTCAATCCCAATCGACAAGTGTAAGCGTTACCCTGGCACATCCGGCATGTTTGTCAAGGGGCGTCAATACAACCTTCCACGGTACTTCATCTCCTCTACCCCTTTTTCTTGATTACATTTCTGTTTTTCACCCTTTAACCTTTATACACTACCTACTATGCTAGCCTGTTGACGATTTCCCTTGATTCTCCCAATCTCCAATTTTATATTGCCTTACATACCCCATAGTAAACTTCATGTTATTTTCCTTGTCAGCCATGTGTAGTGTTTTTAAACTGATTCCCCTGCTTGTTTTCGACTTCTCCGTTCTTTTTTCACTTTGTTTATTCTCGCATCGAAGCATTGGAGCACGATACCTTTTTGATATCTTAACGGCCTTTTTCAATGTCAGGATAGGTTAGGAATTTTGATGAGTAAGATAGTATATAGGATAGCCCACGCAATATAAAATAAAATTATACAACAACCCTTCTATAGAGTACCCTTGTTGTTGATTTACGATGTTGAGTGTTTCATGGTACAGCGAACGTCCCAGGAGTTATCTTTGGTTTTATGATGCGTTCAAGTAGAGTCATTGGAGACATTAACCGGCCGGGCTATTCGTACTTTCGCTAATCCAATGTTTAACCAAACCATTCAACCTTTATTGACAGAGCAGTTGAGAGGATGGTAGACCGTAAATTTCTAGCATCAGTCTGAGGTACGATGTGAAGTGCCAGTAGAGGATGTATGGCTAGCTTTTAAGAAGATATAGAACGCATTGCGATGGTCAACAAAATAATGCTGATTAATTAGTTATAACGCCTGCCGTATCACCCAACACTCGGTGGTTTACAATTTTCAGTCATACAGGTAATAGGCCTATAGCATATGGATGCTGCAATGCTCATACTGGCGTTTCTAGTTTCACAGGTATGCAGCATTTGGCCATGTCAACAGGCAAGCTCCAACTACCAGGTGAAATATGAGATGGCCGAGTTATTATCAGTAAGTGGGTTTTCTTGCCTATTGTCTCTCACAGTGGTGAAATAGGGTGGAATTATCCGGCTAAACAATCATGCAATTTTCAATATACACCCGTCACAACGGCCTTTTTATGTGCGGATAACCAACCAAATATATCCCTGTTGGATCAAGCGACGACTGGATTCAATAACACTGAGGTTATATGGAATTATGGCATATAGTACAATTAAAGCAGACTTTGCTATGGTATCTAGACTCAATGAGTAAAATAGCGTATCCACCAATGGTCACCTATATGACCAGGCACCCCCACACGCAAATAGCCACTGCATGATGGTTGGCTCTTCATCTTCTGATTGCAGGATACCAGATCATTATTCTTCACGAGCAGCGTTCTTGAGATTAGTCAAGAAGTATGGTATACCTACGGGTATTATAGGAGAAATAAAATAGCATAAATGGTATGCTGGGAGGTACATGTTGCATGCCTGCCAGGTACAATGGTCTCTTAGAGTCATTGACTCCGATAATTCCATCGCCCTATCAACGATAAGAATTTCATACAGGATGAAGGATACACATTCCTATGTCTGAGATGACGAGATAAAAACCCACTTCTGTTCGGGGTATTCCCATGAAGCGGAGTAAGGGATAATAATGATCTTTTGGAAACTGGTGATCCCAATACTGTGAATATCTGGCCGGGTAATGACTATGACCACGAAAAACCTCTTCAATCCTAGACAATTTGGTTGTGGAGAATAAGAATGCAAAACTCCGAAAGTACGGAGTACATCAAACTACAGGGCTTTAATTATTAGGCTGGCTAACTAGGGTATGGCCGCTGTTAAAATTATTTCTTCAAGATGTCCCGTCCCGGCCAAGAAGCTTCCTAGGATTAACTGGTATCAATACTCCAGAGGGTGTTTAAAAAAAAAAGGGCACCCGATAGGCTTGCTTTCTCCGAATTTCAGCGCAAGTGCAAATGCTCCATGTCCCGTAAGTGACGGAGCCGTGAAGCTATCTGATTAGTATGGCCCACTGCCCGCATCTCCAACGAGCGGCCCGATCATGGAATCCCAACGGTGTATGGAGTACTCCGTATGCAACTCCGTCCATCAACATCGCGATTTGATGTATGGATACTTACCTGGAGAAATAGCGGAGTACCCCAGAGAGAAAGGACGTTGTTGCTTAGGTAAGGACCGGTGGAAACTGAGTGACCTGCGACATGCACACATGTCCATCCCATCTAGCCCAAGCGAGCTGTTGTGCCCCTTTCCCCCTTGCCTGGTCGTCAACCCACATCTGGTGCAGAACGATGGGTCTCCTTGAAGTGTGGAGCCCATAGGGCATGGCGAGTGGGTAGAAAACCACGCGGCTGCGGATAATAATATCCTGCTAGAGATATAATAGTGCTCTATAGCAGAAAATAACTATGTCTCAGCCCTTTTTATTTTGATGATCCTGAAAATCAGCGAGGGTATTTAGCTGCGCCCACCCACGTAAATATTTAAGAATCGCGTCTCGGGAGCGACAAGCCGGTAGTGGGAAATTAAAAACCCATGTGGTTGCTTTCATAGATAGTTGGAATAACGAGGCAAAGTCACCCCCTGAGTCAGAGTCTGCAAAGATGGTGAGCCACGGCAGATGGCGTGATAATGGTGATAATAATTCATTTTCCCCTTCCACCCTTCGTCTCAGATTAGCGGTGTGCGTGATGCCCGAAGTGAAGGAGAAAGAGACTCCGTGTCTGAAATCGCGCTCGCGCTGCAAACGCCATGACATGTGTCTTTGCCTCATCGCATAGGCCTTCTTTGTTACGGGAAAAGGTCTAAATCGACGTCTATCGGGCGACATCGCATGTTCATCATGAACTTGAAAAAAAATAAAAGTAATTCCGCTCTGGCTGGGCTCCTTTGGGTAGTGGTGGCCGGCGGTGGTATGTGGTAGTGGTTGCAAAAAAAAAAAAAAAAAAATAAAAATAAAAATAAAAAATTAAGGTAATTACCACGCACTCGGAAAAAGGTCGACCTCCGAGTTACGCCGAAGGCACACAGGGGTCACGGGAACACCATTTCAGGAAGGCGAAAAAGGAATAATAATCCCAGTATCAAGCAGATACAAAAGAAAAAAAAAAAAAAGATAAAAAAATAGATAAAATAGTACGCTTGGCTTGCGTAAATGGCGCAACTTTAACACAGGAGAGAAGGCCATCCCTGTTCGCTCAGCAGGCCGTTTGACATTCTCTCTCGGGGCCGATGAGCGCAAGTTTAAAGGAGATGTTGCCGCATGATTGGAGGATTTGGCGCGAGGGAAGGGAGCTCATCCCAAGAGGAAGAAACACCCTACAAATCTGAAGCTCATCGTCATATCAAAAGGGTGAGACGTCCGAGACGTGAACCGAAAAAGCAAAGGGCACACCAAATTGGAAAGAAGGGTAAAAAATTCTAGAAGAACTGGAGCCAACCGGGCCTGTCAAGTGGGAATTCAAAGTTTGCCGTTGGACGAATATCGTCTTGCCAGGCGAGAAAGGGAAAAAAAATTAAGAAACTGGAGATCTTGGACCTCGGCCCACAGGAGAAATTCATGTGGAAAAGACGCCAAAACGCGCTGGCCGTCGAATAATTGTCCAAGGAAAATTTTAAGGTCAGCCAGAGAGAATTCAAACCGGCCGAATTGTCGAAGAGTTCCCAGTCAGGAGGTGGGCACCTCTGTGTGGAATCAGGTGGAACCTGGGAAGCTTGTTTTCCTATTTATTCAATTTCTCCCTGGCTATTTCATTCGCGTCTTCGTCTTCTGCATCTTCGTCTTCTGGTCAATGGAAATAAATGGGAGGGCCGACATGTATTACCGTGTCATCCCTTAACGGGACCTTGTGCTGGGAGCCAAAGACCAGAAACAGCCGGCCAATGTATCTTGGTTACCCCTTCGAGGTGATGAATATAAGAAAGGAGACGCTGGGGCAGATCAGTAGTTGATGAACATCGTTCCGTTCTCCGAACTGCCCATGCCCATGCTTGGTACCAGGGAGGACCAGCGGAAGGCGGATCCGGCATGCTGAACCTCAAGCTCAAGAGGAGTCCTGGTGGATACGAGCTTCGAGCAATCAAGGCCATGCATGCTAGGACGGATGAGGTAGTTATGACACGCAGCATGCATGCTTCCTTGCTGGCCGCTCTTATTGTCTTTTTATTTTAAAATCTTTTTCGTGCTTGGGTGGTTTGCCTCTAAGCCCGTACAAGAGTTAAAACTGGAGATTCCGTTAGACGCCGCGACTTGGGTGGTGAACAAGGAAAATTCAATAAAGCAGGAAATGAGAACGTACAAAACAGTGAAGCATGCACTTTGTACAACCTCACACCGACATAGTGGCAATGACCAGGAGTCAAGATTGGAGTGATAGCATGAAGGGAAGATTTACCGAGAAAGCCAGGTGTTGAAGAGAAAAGGAATAAAAACAATAAAATAAGATTTCAGTTGGGGAGAAGCCACATCATCACTCTCTTGAGATCTTGATCAATTTGATCGCCGACCAAACTGTCGTTTTTGGCTTTTCGAAAATCCGCTCAGACGAACTGACTGACTCAAGTATCGCCCAATTCACTAGTTGTTCAAGGTCGAAACGTCATTCGACCCTATCTCTTCGTCTCCCTCTCCTTCTCAAGCCACAAGAAGCCATCGTTGTTGGGTGATGGCGGAAGAAGGACATCATTGATTTTGTTATCGTTTTATCAGCATCGTGCTGATCCATTAGTTTAAAAAAAATAAAAATAAAGGCTTCTTTTTGTGTGGCAATAATCACGTATCTGTTGATTGAGAGACGAAGCATGGGCTATCCCCCAATCACGTGTACATTTTATGCATGTCGAAGGAGACTTCGCAAAAGCCTCCCGGAGCAAGGCCGAGCAGCATAAACC